AATAATTTAAAGAGGTTTATTCTGAGCCAAATTTGAGGACCATGACCCAGAGTCAAGTCCAAGAAACCTTGAGCAAGTGGATTCACAGTGATGGGGTTCATTTAGTTTTATACACTTCGAGGAGACAAGAATTACAGGTGAGCTCATAAATCAGTGTGTAGAAGGCGTACATTGGTTTAGCCCGAACAGGTGGGACACAGTTTATAGGTGGGTTTAAAGATTCTTCAGCTGTAATTCATAAAGGTGAAAAAAAATTCTTCAGCTGACAATCAGGACAATCTCCTGTTTGGCAGACCAGGAGTCAGGGAAAAGGAAAGCTGAGTTAAGATAAGGGCCTGTTAATCAGAGACAAACTACAGGACATGTGCCCAGACCCAAGTGGTTTGCGTGTATGGTGAGGACCTGCAGATGTGTCCTGCACAGCCTTAGGCCTGGAGATGAGTCACAGAGACGTCCCTAAGGAGGGAGGGGACACAATGCGGCATTTCTGAGCTCCCTTCTCATGGATAGTGACCCAGTTTTAGGGATTCCCTTGACCAAGAGGGGTCCAGTCAGTCAGCCTGTGGTGGGATCCTTAAGACTTTTAGTTCACCATAACAAAAATGTAACAGCTGTGACACACGTGTGAGACCTCAGTCATGGTGCGTTTCAGGACCAAGGAGAGACTATGGCCAGAGGACCTGGGGGAGGACTGTACTTGGGCCCACCTGCCTTGCAGGGGCAGTGGAGTCTCCAAGATTCACCCTAGCATGGTGCAATGTCCTCTACAGCGCATCTGGTCAGCTGTGGCCTTGCCCTCCAGTGCCTGGGCTGTGTCTTCCTGGGGAGGTCTTCATTTTCAGGTTGTATCCTGGTGGGAGCTACCAGGTGGCCTCCTTACTGCAAGGCAGGTGACAAGGATTCTCTCCATGGCCAACTCCACCAAATTCCAGACAGGCCTCTCTGAGTTGCCCTCTTGGCTTGTCCTCAACCTTGGCCTTGAAGTCTTAGCCACCAATGTGGCTTCTTCAGGCCCCCACCCAGCCTCCAGCTACCTCCATTCCCCTTAAAGTCCCTGCCTGGGAAAACTCAAGGCTTCTGGAGAATTCCCTGCTTATTGCAGGCAATACCTGGAGATGGGGCTGTCACCCCCACCCCTGAGAGGTAAGGACCTGACTCCAGGAGGGCCCGTCCCCACTCTTAGGCAGGATTCCCACAGACCAGCCTGGCCCCACTATTCATAACTTCTCCCTTTCCTGACTCCACAGAGCCTGGGGCCTCACCTATCCCTCTTTCTCCATAGCCACCAGTCACATCTGTGCTGCTCAAGGTGGAGCCCAGCTCACCCTCCTCCCCACTGCGATGGTCACCACTGATTAATATGTCCCCATTCTACTGGGGTCTGGCTTGCTCCATCCTTGACACAGGTCCTCACTGTTATCCCTGAGCAGAGGGGCAGAGCACAGTATGAGAGGATTGGCCCTCTGTGACACTGGGAGGGCAGGTCACCCTAAGGACCCAGGACACCCATGACCAGGGTAAAGGGAAGGGATGACATCTGTGAGGTGACAGACACCCCCATGGGCCACAGAGATGCCACAAGCAGCAGCTCTGAGCTGAGAGCCTTATACATGTCTCTGGGTCTGACCTCAGGGACCCACTGTAGTGGCTGGTATAGGCTAAACGCCCATATGCCTCTGGCCAAAAACACCATTTGAGAGAGAGCAGTGAGAAGACTTTGTGCAGGCATACTTGTAAGAAACTGTGGCCAGGTTAGTTGTAGGCCTAACATGACCAAGGCTTTGGCTGGAATAGCATTTCCAGACTGCATTAAGGAATTAAGATGGAAACCTGGGCTCATGAAAGGCTTTTGAGAAGTCCAGCCTGAGAATTCCTTATAAAAGGCTCCAGCAACACCCCCCCGCCCCGACTTAAGGCCTACATGGGAGCAGAGGTTTGCACACAAATTCCTGTATGCCCAAGAAGTTTCTCTATGCTTTGCTTAAAGATTCGAAGTAACTGCTTCCAAATGGCATGGTCAGTAGAACGACATTCAAATTGTCTCTTTCCCCTGAAGCCTCAGGCTTCATCAGATAAGAACAAAGAAAGTAATAACTGACAACATGTTCTTCATTAAGTTATCTTAAACCGGGTTATGTTGAAAGGGTTATGCTTAAAGGTGTATGTTGGGTGGATTATCAGATTACCAGGGAAGAGCTACTTACAGGGTGGGTGGTCATAAGATGTTTAAATGGATTAATGAGGTCATTGCTGTATAGTGCACATGCACAAGATTGCCTATATAAACCAACAGCAAATAAAGAAAGCTGGCCATTTTGCCTGAGCGAGCAGATGGTCACCTTTATTTAAAACACAATTTCAATAAGTGTGCTTATTCTTCACAACACTGTTTTTCCGTAAGACCCTTACGGCAACAGCCTGGCCTAGTGCCAGCTCAACCCTTGGACTTGGCCAAGGAGGGACCAGGGCTGCTCCACACCCCGGGTCATCCCCAGGCAGGTGAGGTAGTGGTCCTTGCTCTTGGGGGTTATCAACATGCCTTTCACTGAAAACAAATCAATTCTAATCCCCGGGAGTAAGCAGTGAAGCTTAGGAGGAGCCCTCCTATGGGTGCTACACTGGCACTGGAGGGGGTAGAGATCAGTCTGGTTCTGATGGTGTCAGACTCACCTTCACTTTTCCAAGTCATCCCCTAGCTTTGGTCTTAACTGAGGCTGGCAAAATCTACGTGGTCTCCCAGTGGTTCCCTCAAGGCTTCCCTCTCAACCCTGGAGCCCCATCACCTGTGGGCCCTGGCTCTCTAGTCCACCTGGAAGACCCTGGGATGCTTTGCACCAGATGGGACAGGATGGGGCTGGGGACGCCAGCTCTGGGCTCGCCAATTCCTCTCTGCACCTGCTCCCAGCAGTGGGGGCTTCTGCTCAGATCCACATCTAGACGTCTCCCAGCTGAGGGTGGCCCCTCCCAGTGCCCTCTGGGCAGACACCACCCCTCCGCATGTTCCCTGCCTCTGCTCAGTAGTCTGGACCAAAGGCTGGAAGAGAGCAGGAAGCTTGTGGATACAGGCTGCCTGGTGACCCTGTCCCCACCGTGCCACTGCATTGCTCCCTCTGGGCCTGGGGTGCACTGGGAGGGGCCCTACTGCTCTGCCAGGCCCCTTGTCCCTACAACCTTCAGGGCTGAACCCCCATCCTAAGCATGGCACAGCTCAGTGAGCGCCCTGGGACCTGTCAGTGTAGCCTTGTGTCTTTGCAGGTGTGATAAGTGTCCTGAAATGAGCTCCCTGGAGCATGGGCCACAGGGCGGCCCTTGCAGAGGTCACCCAGAGCTGGGTTGGAGGCCACTTCTGCCAGCCCCAAGACCCCAGCCAGGCGCTCAGTGCGTGTCCCATTGTCGCAAACTTGCGGGCAGGCTGTGGGGTGGGGCTGGCTGTTCCCTAAGCGTGGGGGTGCTGTGGGACATACACATTTTCATTTCAACTTTATTTTGAAAGAACTGTTAAGTTCACGTGCAGTTATGAGAAATAGTAGTGACCCTGATCCCACCTCCCAGAGGGCAGCAGCTGGACTGCACCTACCCTAGCACATTTTCCCAAGTCACGTGCACTGAAGGGTGAAGGAAGGACGTGGGAGCACATATGTCCATCCCCACAGTCGCCATGCCTTCCGGAACATTCCACCCCAGCCTCTGGGAGCCGCCTCCATCTCCCTCTTCTGCAGTGTTGTGGCTTTGGGGACCCTAGCACAGAGCAGGGGTGGGCGGGGTGGAAACTTCTCATCCCGCACAAGGCCCATCTTGCATGAGCCCCATCCTGTGTCCTCACTGTGTGTGGCTGGTTGCCGTGGAGGGATGCTGGGCTTCCTGAGGTCCTAGGGCTGTGAATAGAGCTGCTGTGCACATTTCTTTAGGGGCATGTGTGGACGCACGTTTCTCTGACAAATGCCCAACGCTCACTGTTAACCCACAACATAACCGTGGGTTGACTGGCACCTCCCTTCAACCTACTATGCCACTGTATGACATCCCTGGGGGACACAGAGTCTCTGTGGCCATGGGCACCCCTTGTGGGTGTCTCCTCAGACCTCAGAGCCTCCTGCACAGGCACCTTGGAGGGCCCTGCTTCTCAGAGGGAGGTGCAGTCTCCAGGAGGGATGGAGGCTTCCAGGGCATCTTTTATGGGCCTAACGTCTGTGTCCCAGGAGGAAGTGGTGGCTCATAGGAGGGGCCAGTGGGGACTGAACAGCATTCCCAAACAGACATGTTCACATCCTAATGCCTGGGGCCTATGAGTGTGGCCTTCTGTCTTTGCACATGTGATAAGTTAAGTGTCCCGAGATGAGTTCATCCTTGATGACTTTGGGGGGCCCTAAATCCAGTGTCAGCTGTCCCTAGAAGAGGAGACAGAGTAGGGAGAGGGAAGAGGTCATGTTGAGACAGGATGGAGCTGGAGTGATGCAACCACCAGCAGCCAGAGAGGCAGGAGGACCCTCCCTTCAGGGAAGGGAAGTGAGGCCCTGGACATTGGGATTTCAGACTCATGGGTTCCACAGCTGTGAGAATGATCAATCAAGCTGTCCTGAGTCCTAGCATGGGACAGTTTGCTGCAGGACTGGGAGCCTTGGGCCCCATTCCCCACAAGGCCCTGGCACACCCTGGGACAGCCGAGCACAGCCCAACACACCTTGGCACAGCCTGGCACAGCCCACCACAGCCTGCCACATTCTAGTACAGCCCGGCACATCCTGGCACACCCTGGTCACAGCCCACCATATCCTGGTCACAGCCTGCCATAGGCTGGCACAGCCTGGCACCAGGGATATTTGCATATTATCTCTGTGCTGTTACTTCTGCACGAAAACCTGGCAGATGTCTGAGGGGTGGGTACCAGTGTCCATCCTGGCCAGGACCCTGGGCCTGTGGCATTCACCCCAAGCTGTCCCTGTCCCCCTGCCTTCATCCTGAGGGGAAGCTCACGCACCAGGAGGCATAGGGTGGCTCCTCTACCGCTTGAAGGGACAGTAACCTAGGGAGACAAAGAGGCTCTCAGATGGGGCCTGGGGATCCCCCACGCCCAGCCCCCAGGCCCTCTAGGCAGGGCAGGACCTAGCCAGAGTGTGTCCTTCTTACAGCTGCTCCCACCTTGGTTGGTCATGTCAATGATATTTTCTGAACTGAGTCCGTATGTTTTGCAGATCATTTTAAATCTGTCCAGGTAGGAAGGGTTCAGCTGGGGAATCCGTCCTGGGAAGAGATTTAGGACTATGTCCAGAGAGCCTTGTGGAGGTGACTTAGGTGGCACTGTGGCTGGGGGCACTCCCCACCAGGGAGAGGCTTCTGCAGCAGGGTGAAGGCCCCACCCTCACATGTCTGTGGGTGGAGCTAGCCAGTGGGGACCACCTCCCCAACCCAGGGCCATGGTAAGACTCCCACCTGGGTCATGCCTAGCTCTAGAGGAGGAGGGTCTCCGGGGGCCTGGGGAGGTACCATAGAGAGCCAGCACTTGGGTCTTGGTCCCATTCCTGAGGTTCTGCAGGTGGAAGGTGATGTACAGCCAGAAGTCGGTCTCCAGAACTGTGACCTTGTTCTTCCCATTATCTGTGTGGAGACATGGCTCAGCGAGGCCAGCCTCCATCACAGCCACCCCGCCCCCAGCTCTGTGCAGGTGCCCCTGTGGTTGCAGGTGAAGATGCCAGGTCCAGCAGCCCTTCTGGGGGGAAGGCTGAGCCCGAGGTCCCTCTCAGATGGACACCCTACCCAGGCTTGAGGTGTCCCCTCAGGTGGACGCCCCACACAGGGCTGAGATGTCCCCTCAGGTGGATGCCCCACACAGGCCTGAGGTGTCCCCTCAGGTGGACGCCCCACACAGGCCTGAGATGTCCCCTCAGGTGGACGCCCCACACAGGCCTGAGGTGTCCCTTCAGGTGGACACCCCCACACAGGGCTGAGGTGTCCCCTCAGGTGGATGCCCCACCCAGGCCTGAGATGTCCCCTCAGGTGGACGCCCCACACAGGGCTGAGGTGTTCCTTCAGGTGGACGCCCCACACAGGGCTGAGATGTCCCCTCAGGTGGACGCCCCACACAGGGCTGAGGTGTCCCCTCAGGTGGACGCCCCACACAGGGCTGTTGGCAGCAGCACATCAGGGCCCTGTCCACTGACCCTGCTATCCCTTGGGGTGCCCTCCCCTCTGAGCACAGCACAGCACCTGCCTCTCCCTGGCTTGGGTTGGAGGCTCCAGGATTGGAATGATGCTGAGTCCTCTCAATTTGGAGTCAAGTGTCAAAATCCCCTCCAGTGGCCCTAACCAGAACACGGCCCAGGCCCTGGAGAAGGAATTGGCAGGCAGGGCAGCTCTGCCCCCACTTACAAACAATGGAGTACTCCCCATCGCCCTTCATCTTCTCACAGACCACGGTCACGGCCACGCAATCCCCCTGTATCCTGCAAGCCAGCGTGGATGATGCCAGGAACAGAGCTCCCACCCCCAGGGCTTTGGAGGGAAGAAGCATCCCGTTCTGGGACACATATGCCCAACACCTGGCCCCATTCTGCAGCCTGGCTTCTCTGGCCAGGCCCTGCACAGCCCACCCGACATCCTCGTCCCCCAACCTTCAACACACAGTGTTAGGCTGACCCAAGTCCCCCACTCTCTGTGGGGCCTGGTGCCTTCTCCTGCCACCCTGCCTGGTGGTCTTCTGTCCCCCACCCCCAAGCACCCCAATTCCAGCTAAATGGGTGACACTTGCATGAAGCGGAAATCGAATTTAAGGCTCCCGTTCCTCAAGTGTTCGATGTGCCGTACAAAGACTCGTAGGTCCCCATTTTCTTTAATCCGCTTCAGATCATCCGAGGCCATGGAAATAGAGTACCAGTATCCCGAAACCTGAGGGCAATGGCTGCAGTGGGTGGGCCCTGGGGCAGCTTGGTGCTCACGGCCTCCCCTGTGCCCAGCCCACCCTGGAGGACAGGTACACAGAGCCACCCCACCCCTCCTAGGGTCCCAGCCGCCAGCCCCACCCTGGCCATGCTGTGGGTCCTTAGTGGCACGGGCCTGGGGGTAGACTCCTGGGTCCAGGAGAGGCTCAGGGGGAGGCATAGCAGGAGCAGTGTCGTCCTCACCATCCTCACGGCTGGATGCCTGCCCGGCCCCACTGAGCCTTTATATCCCTCTCTGCTCTGCAGTTTCCAGCCCCTGAGGACCCACCCAGACTCTGGCCTGTCCCCACACACCCTGTGACCACAGGGAACAAAGCCAAAGGCCCCCACAGGCACCATCCTCCCCCATTCACAACCGGTTCTAGAGCTGGTGATATCTGGCCAGGTCAGAGAGCCAGACAGGGCCATGGGAACAGGCGGGGAGGATGTGTCCCCTCCCCATCCCAGGATCCTGCACCTCACTGGAGACAGACGTCCTGTCCTAGACCCAGGGACCGTGTGACTGTGTGCACGGAGAGCAGGCATCCTCTCCGTGCTGCTCCGTGCCGCTCCAACCCCAGCACAGCCTCCCTGGCAGGGGCCTCTGGTCACAGCCAGGCAGCAGGGGCCACACAGACCCGATGATTTCATCTCCTCTGTCAGTGCTGCCAGCAGAGCCCACAGGCCCAATGGCTACATCCCCAGCCCCAGGGGACACAAGTATCCCATGATTGGGGTGAAGCCTGGGTCATAGGAGCAGACCTAGGATGGGTGTTTGTAACCTGGGCAGAGAGTGTGTTGTTGCTGCTGCTGCACTGGGGACCCTCCCACCAGGGTTCCCCACTGAGCCCCTGAGCTTAATGAGAGAGCACACCACTGAAATAGACCTGAGAGGGCAGACCCCAGCCAGCCCCCAGGGACAGGGCACACAGGTGCTCAGGGCCTGAGTCAAGAGCTCCAAATCTGAGGATGGGGTGCACAGGTACTCAGGTACGGGGTCAGGAGTTCTGAGTCTGGGGATGGGGTACACATGCATTCAGGGCTGGTGCACAGGTGCTGGGGTGCACAGGTACTCAGGTCCAGGGTCAGGAGCTCTGAGTCTGGGGATGGGGTGTGCATGCACTCAGGGCCAGGGTCAGGAGCTCCGAGTCTGGGGATGGGGTACACAGGGACTCAAGACCAAGGTCAGGAGCCCTGAGTCTGGGAATGGGGTACACAGGGACTCAGGACTGGGATCAAAGCCCTGAGTCTGGGGCTGGGGTACACAGGGACTCAGGACCGGGGTCAGGAGCTCTGAATCTGGGGCTGGGGTACACAGGCATTCAGGACTGGGGTCAGGAGCCCCAAGTCTGGGGATGGGGTACACAAGCACTCAGGACTGGGGTCAGGAGCCCCGAGTCTGGGAATGGGGTATGCA